TTAATAAGTAATTTAAAAAATATTAAAAAAGCTTATTATATTACTTTTATTAAAAAGCACTTATAAATTAAGAAAATTTAAGCAAATTAAAAGTCGTAAAAGTTATACTAGTATAGTAATTCCTATTAAAAAATCTCAGATAACCTTATAGTAGGAAAATAAAAGAAAAACAGAAATTAAGCAGAGAAGTTTAGTTTACAGAAAGTTTTATAACGTGATATATAATAGTAGCTATTACAACTATAAATAGCGGTATATATACGTATAAACAGCAAAAACAATAATTATAATTATATACTTAGTTCAGAGTTTCAACTTTTGTTGTCCATTATGCAGCGTTTAACTAAGTATTTAAGAGTATCCTGCCTAGCTAATTTGAAAATTCTTCAATCACACTCGGGTTCACAGGCTGCTCCCCAATACTTACAAATGGTATTTCCAGCCCAAAGCCCTGAGGTCCGCCAACCCTCAAACCCTGAGGCGTTTTCCATAACGGATGGGCGGGCATGGCAATCACAGATACACGAAGCCCGTACTTCAAGTCCTGGGATCCAATGGCCTCGCCGTCCTGCCCTAGAACGGAGATTAACTCCGGCACCGTACAAATTATCTGGTCAGCTTCTTTGCCTGTAGGATCAGTCAAGGCCGCGTAGAGGTACTCGTTCTGGAATGGGATGAGCATGTGTTTATCCGCCTGTCTATTGCTGTGGCTATCAGTTTTGACGCCCTCCTGCTCCTCAAGACTAAGCGGAGCGAGGAGGACATGGCCTTTCGTGTATCCGTCACTAATATTGCGCTGAACATCAATAATTTTTCCAGCAAAGATCAGCCTTGCTTTGCCGATATGCGACTTCAGAAATGGCAGTCAAGTCAGTTCTGGACAACAACCCTTAGATGCTCGGTACCGGCGGGTTTGCACTCACGACAGCCTCAATGTATGATGTCTTTTTTCTTCGCGCTAGGTGAATGGCTCGTCCAAGATACCAGGCAAGAGATAGAGTCCGCGGAACGGCATGACTTTTGATTGATTTGCCGGACAGAGGATTCGTGCAAACCGCACATCCTAGACCGAGTTCAATCGCGGTTGATCGGAGGACTTTTTCTACTCGGTCTGGTGAATCCGCACCCTGGTTATAATATCGTTAGCTGTATCGGCATCTTGAGCCTCGAGCGGCTCAAAAGAATTTACCATTAGAATTGAAATAACTCCTCGGCAATCAGTTATACAACACGGAGTGAGAGGATGCCCATAAACGCTGGTCGTACCTAGAGATGGTTAGCCAGTAAAACATGCCAGTTCATCAGCAGCTGTTCGCATCTTACTATGATACATGGCTGGGAAGGCCCTGCCCATGGTATCACCATCCACGACTGGCAGATTGTAGTTAACAGCCGTCGAGAAGATGCTCAGGCCGTTGCCTCCACCGCTGATTCCGCTTAGTTAGCAATCCACTCCCACATGTCAGACACATTAGATCAAAGAGGCATACTCACACCTCATCCAAAAGGAAGCCGTTCAGCTTCTGACCCCCCAGGACCTTAAGGAGGGTATCGACTCCCACGTCTATCTCGCCTCCATTCACGATCCTCTCGTTGGAAACGCCCGGCGCTCCGTACCAGGACCCAAAGCCGATCAAGTCATTATCCTTGAGAGACTCTGGACATATGATCCTCATCCTACCTTTACCGCCAGTACGAAGAATTTCTTTGCATCTTAGAGCTTCGTAGTGGGTTGGACCCCCGCCTCCGGTTCCCAGAATACCGCAGCCCGTGGATATCAACTCAATGTCGACTTCTGAGACGTACCATACTCCTTGCTTGACCTCTGGCCGATATGTAGCTAGGTCCATGCCTACCTGCAATTGGTGTGGCACATCCACTGCGATATCTGGCTCAACTTGTGGTCTTGCTTCAGGCTCGTTGTCATCCTCAGCGGACCCAGTTCCATTTGTCTCGGGAAGCCGAACTACATCCGGGGTCCGAAGCTTGCCCACCGCCCTGACCTGAATTCTGATGGCTCCGTTATTGACGTATTGGAGTGGTGTCTTTGTAATTTGCACAATCCGGACGTCATCAGCCGTGGCGCCCCTTTCGATAGCTAGCCCTATCGCCTTTTCGCAGGCTGCTGCCACGAGGGCCTTCTCGCTCCTCCCTTTCAGAGCCTCGATTAGGTCCACGTCGCCAGAGACCTCAGAAATTGCGGCTCCGACAGCGTTGGCAGCCTCACTGTGCATGGGTCGGATGCACCTCTCGACTCCCTCCAGGGACTCGGTGACAAGGAGGGCGCCCCCCCCAACTAAGAGGACATGTACCGGTGCTGCAGAAAACTTCATCTGCTCGATGACGTCCTCCAGAATCTTCTTTATCCTCTTGCGAGCCGCCTCGACGACAATAGCTGGAATCTCGCTGACGAGTGAAGGATGGCCCAGCTCAGTCTTGCCCATAGCAGCCACTATGTCAGTCGCCGTCATTGTCCTCCCGCCAAAAACGAGTGCCTGCTGGGTGAGAAGATTGCCAACGGAAGCTGGTCCAAGGGTAACATGTTCGGTTTCTGCATCAACTTGTACTATGCTACCACCGCCAAGCCCAACGGAGCGGACCTCTGGCATTGAGAAGGCTGTTCGGACGCCCCCAACTTCAGTAAACCCAGGAGCCAGACGGGGAAAACCGGAAGGCAGCAAGGCACATACATCAGTCGTCGTGCCGCCAATGTCGACCACAAGGACCTGTGATTCTGAAGAGTCCCCGTTGGTCTTGACGCCTTTGGCATGATTGTTGGTTGACACACTTCGCCGGCCATAGCCGGCCAGAAATGCAGCACCGATCATGCTGTTTGTCGGACCGCTAGCAAAGGTGGTAATGGGCAAGTTTGAGGCTTCGTCAGCGGCAATAATTGTGCCATCGTTGCGTGATAGATACAACGGACACTGCAGCCCCAGTACAGCTATGGCGCGTTTGAACCCCTTGATTAACCTTCGTGCCGTTCTTAGGATGGCCGAGTTGAGAATGGTGGCGTTCTCTCTCTCAAGCAGGCCCACAGGCCCGATGTCTCGGGATATTGTAATGTCCAAATCGGAATCCACCTCCAGCATTATTTTCCTGCAAGTTTCTTCCTGAGGAGATACATGGTCGATGGGCGAGAAGACGCCAACAATGGCCGCGGAGCGCACCCCCTGATGAATAAGATGACGCGTCGCTTGGCGTATCTGTTCGTAGTCAAGGGGCAGGATTTGTTCGCCGTTGAATTCTAGGCCCCCGTCGAGGAAGAATGATCCTCCATCAAGGATAGACCTTAGCTTGGGAGGAAAGTCGGCGAATGGAGAAATCTGTCGCGTGAATGGGCCGCAGAGGCGTAACACCGCAACACGACTAAGTTCTCGGGCATTAGCTTCGACCACGGCATTAATGAAATGAGTCGTCCCAATCGTCACAGCGATAATACGGTTGAGGTCAACCTGAGAGGCTTCCAAGATTGCCTTGACGGCCGTCTCGATGCCACTCGTGATATCGGTGGTTGTAAACGTTTTATAAGACGCAAGCACACCACGACTCGCCGTATCGCACGCCGAGATGTCTAGGATAGCCGCATCGGTGTTGGTTCCTCCAACATCGACGCCAACTCGATAGAAAGCCATTGTCAACAAAGGTGTGCTTAAGGGTTCTGTCGGACGCAACTAAGCCTCAAGTCGTTTCGAGATATCATGGCACATATAATATGCCTGCAACATATTGAGCACGATACTGTTTATATACGGTAGATGTGGAAGCTACCAATATGCATGTTACCTGTCTAAATTAGGGTGGTTCGCTAATTCTCATCGAACCCGACACTCGGCATTGTCCGAGAGGTTGTCGGGGGAGTTGTCCGAGAAGTTGTCCGAGAAGTTGTCCGACAAGTTGTCCGAGAAGTTGCCCGACAAGTTGCCCGACATTTAGCCAACCAAGCCCCTGGACCCTGGTTATAGTGAAACCAAGTGATAGTGGTATTGATTCCCGAGAACAATCAATTAATATGGACACGGCACCTACATAACAGTACAGTATGTCCTCGTGTACCAAAGTAGCTGCAAAAATATCGTATAACACCACCCGCGAGGCTATGTAACCCATGAGTTGCCTCCCGCACGCTCTTCGGTGGCGTTTCCGCCGGGGTTGGATAGCTAATGGATAGTACACACTACATAACCAGACAAAACTCAGCCGTGTTTGAGGCTTGAGATCTGGGACTTCCCCACACCCATACAGACCCCGCATGGAGAAACAGCAACGCCTCCTGAAGATAAGGGGAATGATTCGATGTTATGATGCTAACACTCTTTTGGCTGTATGGGGAAGCGGGGATTACCTGCTGGTAGCAGCCCGGATAGATAGGTCGGTCCTCAGGGTGTTTATAAACCATCCACGCCGCCTCGACGAGCGCCTCTTGATTGTTCAACTGCGTTGCCAAACAATAATTATCCGACTTCTTTCTCTGCCTGTTGCCATACCAACATCATTATATCACAGAGCATCATGAAACTTCAGTCTATCATCAAGCGTGTGGAGTTGCATCATGTATCCTCGTGGATGGTGAGTGGCGTCCAACGGAAACCGTACATCTGTACCCATTGCGAACATATCCCTGACTTCTGTAGAACGATGATGTCCGGCCAGTTGAGTCTGAGAGACGCACATGGAGCTTTCGTACTTTTCATAACTTCTGTATTTTCTGATTTTCTAGAATCCTACCCCAGCCGCAATGTCATGTCTACCGAGCTGACTCATTGATTAGGGTTGTTAATCAACTGCAACCTCTCGACGTTCCTTACCGGTAGCGCGCTTATTCCGCTAGGCTTAACGTGGTGGCAGGCCATCATCAGTACGTCTGCTATTGGCATGACCATGTCGGTCGTCTCTCTTACACGATTCTAGCTATCGTTATTGGAAACATGCTTGCCACGGGTGCACTTCTACTGAGCTCCTTGGCTGGATCATACTACCACAGTGCGTCGTCCTGGCTGTCTACAATATCTCCAACCACAAATAGAAGATTTTGGCTCACCAAGTATATTGCAGTCAACTTCCCCGTCTTTAGCCGAGCAGTCTGGGGTATGTGGGGTTCACAATTTTCTATATGGAATCGTATATTCTTGTCATTCGGTATATATACAGCTCCTGGATTTTGTTTTTGGGGTGACACTGCTAACTCTGAATATTAGTCTGGTTAGCCGTCTTCACCTCCCCTCTTATCATATGTAGACCCTTTCCTTACGATGCCTAACATAGGTATGGTTTTCAATCGTGGATTGGAGGTCAATGCTTCTACCTTATTCTCCTCTCTTGGGACCCCAAATATGAGCAGCGCATCCCAAATACCATGCCTGCAGACATCGGGGCAACGTCAGCTCAATTCATTTCATATGTTGTCTTCTGTATCCTCAGTCTGCCATTCATATGGATCCCACCGCACCGTTTGCAAAAGTTCTTCTATTTCGCCAGCGGGGTTACCATCATCTTCTTCTTGACTCTTCTTATATGGGCTCTTGTAACAATGGGCTCTGGTGGCTTTGGTACCACTCTCAGCCCTGAGAGCGCAACTCTCCCGACAGGCGGACCGAAAAGCATAGGGTGGCTTATTACCCTCGGCATCATTTCTACCATGGGGTCAATTGCAGCTGGCATTTTAAACCAGAATGATCTAGCCCGTTTCGCAAAACAACCCGGTAGTGCCATATGGGGTCAGGCTGTTGCTTTTCCATTGTATAGTATCTTTTCTTCAGTCCTTGGTATTCTTGTTGTTGCGGCTACCCAGAAACGGTTTCAAGGCGAGGCAATCTGGAATCCGCCGACTCTCTTCGTTCGTCTTCTAGAAATGGATGACAGCGCCGGCACTCGCACAGCAATTTTCTTTGCTGGATTGGCCCTGTGTGCCTCTCAGCTCGGTATTAACATTACCTCAAACGCGCTGGCTGGTGGGATCGACCTGGCGTCAGTATTTCCCCGGTACATCAACATTCGGAGAGGGGCTTATATCACCGCGATATTGAGCCCGATTGTCAACCCCTGGCGACTGGTCAACACCGCAACAACCTTTCTCTCCGTTTTATCTGGCTATAGCATCTTTCTCGCACCAATGTCTGGCCTGATGACTGCGAGCTATCTTGTCGTCAACAAGCAGAAGCTTAAGATCGATGATTTGTATCGTGGAAATAGTGAGAGTATATATTGGTACACTTGGGGGATAAACTTTCGTGCCCCAGTGGCGGTATGTATCTTCTGATAGTGCAGATGACAATTTCGTATAAGCTAACTTTTGGGTTGTGCTGCTGACAGTGGATTGTTGGAGTCGCCCCCTGCCTACCCGGTTTCGTCGCTGCCGTTGACAAGTCTGTGAGCGTTACTGATGGTGCCGCCGAGATGTACTATATTAACTATCTTTACGGATTCCTTTCAAGTGCCACTCTGTATATCTTACTGCATTGGATATTCCCTGCTCCAGCAGTCGAGGCTTTCGTGAGAGAAGCTCCCAGCTCTCGTGAAATCCAGCGATACTACTGTGATAGGTGGGATATACCTCTGGCAGAGACATTGCAAACACTAAAGGAGGATTTTAAGGGTACGTAAGAGGAGAGAAACTTGTATTCTATTACTATTGTGAAATAAAACTTAGTCAAGAGCAGTAAGAAGCGATACCAATAATAATAATATTAGCAGGTAAAATAAAACGCTATAATATAGCTATAGCTATTAAAAGCAGTTATTAAGAGATCAAGTAATATACTATACTAGTAATACGAAAAAATTACAAATAGTAGCTTTCGTATAACTATAAAAAAGTCTTAATTATTTAAATAACTTTAAAATATAAGAAATAATATTCCAGTGCACCCTAATAAGTTTCGTTTGGGTGATATGGGATAAAAAACACAACGGCCTAGTACCTTGATATTACCGCTATTATCTGGTCTTAAGCCGTTATCAGCATTATCCTTGATAGCTGGATACTGGCTATTCCGCTTTGGCAACTACGGAGCCTTAATTTAAGCCGGAAGAAAAAGTTGTTTATGGGCTTTATAATTTGCGTAGGCATATTATATATCTATCCAGCCGTATAATTAATAAATAACAGGCTGACTAAATCTATTACAGCGTTACTATTATCAGTATCTTGCGGCTGACGTTACTCAATGCGGTCACTTATACAAGCATTAATCCCACGTGGGACTTTATAAACGCTGCTATTTGGTCCACTGTTGAAATTAATATTGGAATTATTTGTGTCTGCTTACCGTCCTTAAAACTGGCACTCATTCGGTTATTTCCGAAGCTGGGAGGAAGCTCACATCAAAGCCACTACCATGATTAGCATGCGAGCAATAAGCAATCGGCAGCGCGCCATGGAGTGTCAAATTACTCGGATTCGCGTTCGGAGCCAGTACATCACGCCCCCCAAGTTGGGGCAAATCGTGTGACCATTCAGAAATCGGTTACGGTTGATAGTGTAGAGGTAGATAAGATGCCACTTGTCAATATCAAGTCATCTATTCAAGGCAACAGCTATTGCCATGCTGCTGCCTAGCTTAGGGTTAGGGTTATTAGAATTATTAATTTATTCTTTATTATATTTAAATTATTATATAACTTATATAATTAACTTAACTTATAACTTATATTTTAGCTTGTAATTAAATTGCAATAATGTAGCTGATTCTTACCCCACGATTTAAGTCAAAACAAGACGAAACTAAAAAAGTAGGCGCGTGACACGATTTACCCTTAATCGTTTCACAAGGGCCCAAATAAGTGGGGCGGGATCTAGGTAAGGGTTGTCGGTCAACCCCGCTCCCGACTCTATGCATAGCTATGTTTTTAATCTCGTCAATGAGATGACCCGAGGCTCGGATCTCTATTTAGGTCGACTTTGGACAAATATTCTCCTGAGGACCTGTATAGCGCGGTCATGGAGGCTGAGCAACCTCCCAGACGGAGTAGGCGAAAGTTCGTTACCGCGAGTACGTTCGGTGGACCGCGCGAATGGCGCAGCAAGAAGAGTCGGGCTTGCGATGTTTGCAGAAGAAGAAAAACGGCGTGCGTAATCAAAACGAACCCTCCATGTAAGTGAGAGTGCTAGGTGTCATGTGTGCCCTGTTAACACCTGTCAGGTCAGTATTGTAGGAAGATGAGCCTTTCCTGCCAGTCCTTGACGCAACTCAACAACTCACCTCAGTCGTCGCCGAGTCAATCAAGCTCTGTGTATAGTAATGTGACACCTGAAGGCTATAGAGATGCCTCGAACACGCTGATTTCGAAATGGCCATCCGGTACTCAGGTTATCATGTCGCAATCAGCTGGAGGAAAGCCTTCCTTGGCAGGCTCAGGTATGGAATCTCCCTGCGCTCTAGAAGACAATGTCGGGCGAAACGCGACGTACATGAGTCCAGCGGCAGAGCAAGACCCCGAACTTCTTGCCTCTTTCAGGTCCTCCATATTAAGCGAGCTTGACGAAGAGGAGGCCGAAATCGTTCAAGTCCATCCTGGTGTTTGGAACCCACATTGTGCGCCAGTCCACTTCAATCTTGTGCTGGAAGACTTCCCAGCTGCCGATGACGCTGCGAGACAATTTGCGTCCGACACAATCGAGAGCAAGATTGCACCATACGGGCCTACTCTTGTTCGACTCTTCTTCCAGCATGTTCACCCAACTTGGCCTGTTCTTATGAAGGGTAGATTTCTGCGCCAGTATTGCCGAGACAAGAATCAGATACCCACCTCTTTGCGTGGTGCAGTCTATGCGCTTGCCTTAACATTTTGGAAGCATGAGCCGTCTGTGAATGGCCCATGTCCGTTTCAACAGCATGAATTAGAAACGCTTTGTCTAGACTCATTGCGACGGGAGTTGATTGCTCCAAACTTGGCCAACTTGCAGGGTTGCCTGCTACTTCTACACATCACGCCTCCAAGTATAGACACTGTTGAATCTTCAGCCAGACTAATGTTGGCCACCCAGGCTACTACAGCCGCTTATAGGATGGGTCTTCATCGAGACCCAGATGGCTGGAACATTGCTTCGTGGGAGAAGATAGCACGGAAGAAACTCTGGTGGGCAACATATGTGGCCGATGCTCTCGCTGCACAGGCTTTTGGCACCCCCTACCACATACAAGCAGACGTGTACTCCACGTCATCCATTGAGATAGATGATGTGCTGTTTGACGAGGATGTTCCTAGCCATCTTCAACACCTGGCTTCGGAGGATACTACCTCAAAACTGGAACCTGCCGCGCGCTTTGTTGCAACTGTCAATTTAGCTCGTATATCACGACAAATACTACACCTAAGCTTGTGAGTTCCACTCGCTACTACCTTCGAATTAGTTACGGTATATTAATATTGTTACCCAGAAAACGTGATATCCCAATGCCCTTGGCTGTCGAAGACATGCAGAGGCTGTTGGACGGCATAAAGCATGAACTGGAATATTGGCATAAGATTTTACCAGGCTGCCTTGGCAGTTGCGCAGTGTCCGAAGACGAGATATACAGGAACAATGGTACGCTTACTCTCCTCACCCTCTCTCTTATCTATATCTAATTCATCGATAGCACCACTGCACCTGGCCTTCCATGCCACCCAGACAATGTTCCTTCGCGTTCTTATGGCTCCGGCTACCACAGCAGCGAAGGCCAATCCGCACTCTCCTCTTAGGCGGTGGTTCAAGAAAGCATTGCAGTCAGCGGAGTCATTCGTCAGGTTTATATCTAAAATCGGCGCGGAGGAACTAGATGGGTTCTGGGGATGCTGTAAGTATTAGCATTTAACTGTCAGTCGTTGCGTTATAATAAACTAACTCCTCACAGACGCTAGATCTCAGCTAAACATCTGCGGAAACTTTCTAATATACCTGTTCCTGCTAGCGTCTGAACCGGAAGATGTCGCGGCTGCGTATCGGTTGCTCGAGAAATTCCACGTCTCGCTGCAGAAATTGAATAACATGGCTGACATGACTTCGAGACTCCTGATCCGTCCAGTAGCACTTAGAATCGACTCGTTCTTCATTCATGCTCCTCAAATAGTTCGGCAGCGCTCTATCGAGTCGTGACAGCTTTACTTGTCTTGGAAAATTGCCCGAGCATGCATAACCCGTCCTTACTAGTCTGTACTTGATCTAACCAGATGAATCGCCTCTATCGCAGGATTCGAAATCGATGGAGAACTCCTTATAACTGAAATACCTTGGCACTAGGTACGCAGCAGGCTGCCTATGCAATATAATATGGTATAAGTATGCCTCTATTAATTGAACAGGCAAACTTTATGCACTTGCTAACTGTTATAATATCGGTTATTATAGCTAAGTATAGCCGGGAAAAGCAGATATAAATTATTTATATAAAATAAAATTATTAATATTAAAAAGGGAATTATTA